CCCCGCCACCCTCTGCACCTGAGCGCCAAGGAGGCTCCTCACAGCCGCGGGCCAGCTTTCTCCGCATCGTACCATACTGTTCTTTCTTCTTCCCCTCGGCTTTCTTCTCATCTCTGTTTTAATCGAAATGCACAAATTTCCACTTCGCTCTCGAGTAAAAAGACACGAGTATTCAAAAATCATCTACAGATTAGAACACCATGCGCGAATAGCCAGCTGCCGCCGAGTGGTGCAGCAGCGGGATGTTTCCGTTATTCTTTTCTTTTTTTCCCCTCCCCCCGCCGCGGTCCCCGGTTTATTCGTATAAAACCACCAGCTCCCCATAACAAAACACGCCTCTATTGACCGCCGCTGGCGCCGCTCACGGCCGGCCCCGCCCTGTCCGGCACGGCGCGGCCGGACCCCACCGCATGACAAGGCCCGGGCCGTCCTCTACGAGCCACCTGCCGTATGCGGTCTGCCGTCCCCGCCCACTCCTCGTCCCCTCCGCGGTGTGGCGCGGGCTCTCTGCACGCGGCGTATGACAGCGAAATAAGTACCGGGGCAAGAAGGCCCTGCTCGAAAGTGCGGTAGGGGAAGGGGCAACAACAACACCAGAAACTTTAAAATAACACTGTAAAAAATGGTCCGTAGGTTTACGGGAAAATTTTCCATGGCAGGTGTCGTAAAATCACAAACTTAAAATGGTAAATTTACAAAGCTCTCGTATCGACTTGGAATTGGTAGTTGACAAGCAACAATGGTTCGTTGCAAGTTCACAACATATTTTGTTGATAACAATTACAACAAATGTTGTAAATTTACGAGGATTTTTTTTTACAGTAGAGATAGAAAAGCAGAAAAAGGGCTCTCAGATTTAATTTGAGTTTTAAAGTGATTTTTATCGTAAGGTGTGATATGAATTTCAGAGTGCATTGCTATTGCGAGAAATTTGGTTGTGTACAGTACTAAATTACATACATTACAAAGACTGTAGTGACATAGACGGGGTGGGGGACTAGAGTCGGGCCAGGCGGTACTGGGGAGGAGGGGGATGTCCGAGCAGAGCAGACTGAATTTATGGGCCTCGGACACTCTGACTTCCACCACTACCTTCTCAGGGTCAGGGGCGAGCGCGTGCCTCTGGTCTCTTCACCCTCCCGCTTGGGCTGCAAAACTTCAGTGTGTTTCTCTCCAGCAGGCGCACACCAATTATTACAAAATTTGTTGCCCAATCAAACCAACTAATTGAGATGTGCTCAGTTTTCGGCTAGTGTACTGTTTTTTCCATTCAAATAAAGAAAGAAAGTAAGACCGTTTACACAATGAACTCATCGACAAACATTTTGGTGCACAGAAATAAATATGACGAAATAAATTGTAATGTCTTTCTAGGGATACGAAAAAACACGACACTCTTGTCACTCCTGTTATGGCAGAGACATGCCCGCCAAATGGACAAATTGCATTGGGTCTTCGAAAAATTTTATGTCTCCGTAACAATGAAAGTTTAGCACTTTTCAAAGGCGCTTGCGCTCATGTTATTCGAGTATAAACTCTGTTGCAATAGCCAAAATTGCGAAGTGGCCACAGTGCTAAGAGTACGGTCACTCAACTTCCTTGAATTAAACTTCATTTGATAAACAGAAAAGGGAAAAGATTCATTTTGGTACGCCACCACCTGCTCAATGTGCATGTTGCTCCCTGCAGTAGGTGTGAGCCGTGCCGTTTGTACAAAGCAGAGAGGGGCAGCAAAGGTGCCTATCCTACCCAGATCCCTACCCTACCCAGAGTCCTACCCGTCACGACCCGCCCTACCCTTCCCACCACCACTGTCTACCCCCTCCCCCAAAGGGCAGGGGGGTAAAGGGGCGGGAATGAGGGAGAGGGGGTGAAGGGGAAGGGAACGAGGGGGAGGGTGTGATGGGTGGGGTGAAAGCGGTAATGCGGTACAGAGGCGCACACGACCGGCGGCGATGAACAGATTTACCTTCCTTTCCTCTATCGTTTGCATTGGTATATAGCCTTTTTTCATATTTTTCTTTCTTTTCTTTTTAGGGGGGAAGGGTCATTGCCATTGTTTCGAGAGAGAGAGAGAGAGAGAGAGAGAGAGAGAGAGAG